TAAATGGAAATTGGTTACCCGTGATATTTGGATGAAATTTAAATATGTTATTGGGGATGCCGTAAGCAACATTTTTTACTATGGGCTCAACCCTGTATATATGACAGGTGAGGCGTGGTTAGCTGTCAAATATTGGAATCTTATATTCAAAAGCAGAGTGACTATAACAGATTTTGATGAACGAAGGATCGATGTCTACTAAGGGTGGGTATTATAAAACTGCTATGACAGTTAACTTGAAGTTAACTTTTTGAATTACATGTAATTCTAGAAGTTAACTTCAAGTTAACTCTCAAAGTTGAAGTTAACTTTTTGAATTACATATATTTTCAGAAGTTAACTTTAAGTTAACTCTCAAAGTAGTTTTATAATACTCGCCCTAAGTCGACCAAGTTAAGTCGAAAAATGTCAACCATTTTGACACCTCTCAAAACCCTACCGAACGACAGCACTCATCTTTTTCCGTTTTCAATATTTTATGAAGTCATTTGACATTTTTAACTTATATGTAAATTCTGAATTCAAAAATTGAAAAAAAAAATAAATACAAAACTGTCAAAACCTGTCATTTGTTTTAGTAGAAAAAAATACTCTAATCTGATTCTTTTTTATTGGAAATAGGATATAGTACAATTGAAACAAGATAATGTTTTTAAATAGAATCTTTAATTCCACGCAGAAAGGTAACGTCATACACCAACTAAAGTTATACCGAGAATAATATTAACACCAAACAAAATATGATAGGTAATAGTTATTTACCTAACAAATGCGGAAAATGATACTTTACCGCACGCAACGGCAGTTGACCGAACGACGCGAAGCGGAGTTCGGTCAAGCCGTTAAGGGCGGTAAAGGCACTTTCCCCATATGTTAGGTACAAAATTTTACCTATGAGCATCTACATCTCCAAAAAAAGGCATTGATAAAATTAATTAATGAATCAGATTAAATAATGAAATTAGATAAGATTTAGAAATGATCAAAAATCCATTTTCTGGAAAAAAGAGGATTTTTGATTATAAATATCAAATTCTACTTTACCGCACACTATGCGGTAAAGTGCACTTTACCGCACACTTTGTATTCTACTTTACCGCATACTATGCTGTAAAGTGATACTTTCCATTTGCAAATACGTGGGGTAAAGTGCACTTTACCGCACGCTCGTAGGTAAACTACCAAACCATCTTTTCTACCTAATCCTAGAACATCCTATTTATTGAGGTACAAAGGAGAATATAATTTTAAAAGGTTTTTCTAGGTAGACTGTCTAGACCAGCGGTTCCCAAACTGGGGGGCGCGCCCCCCTGGGGGGGCGTGAAGCAACATTGAGGGGGGCGTGAGTCTTCTAAACAATTAATACAGATTTTAAGCTTTAAAATAAAAAATCAGGTAAAATTTGAAAAAAGATGTCTACAATCCTACAACAGCGCATACATAAGCCAAAGCAGCTTTGCCATGCGATCTGTTACTGTATTCCTTTTACCCGTTGAGTTACTCGGAGCAGCTTAGTGTCAAAAGCGTGAACGTTCCTTTCAAAAGTGCGTGAAAGCACTCGAGTCGCTCATAGTGCATACCCCTTTCCCCTGATGCACCAAATTTCCGGGGGTGCAATAAGCTTTTTTAGGTAATGTTAATATTAAAGTATTTGAAACAGAGGAACAGTTAGTAGGAAGATTGTTGCAGCAGTTGCTGAAATTTGCGAAACGCCAGGAGTTTTTCAACATTTTAAGGAAGCCTCCTTATATCAGCATAGCCATGCTACGGCGCGGTCACGCATGCAATATGCATTGAGGCAGGTGGTTGTAATTTTGAGCATCTTTTGATGTGAATCATTGTTTTTAATAAATACTGCAAACATTCCTTGGGTTTTGTATTATTTAATAACACAATTTCTGCTTCAAACACATTTCTTCGTGTGCGGCAAAATAGATTCGGAACACCCTGTATACCTTAGTGAACTAGCTGGGGAGTTGGAATAAGATTGTGTGGTAGTGGTATGGTAGTTGGAATAAAAAATTAAACTTTAAAATATAAGAGGTACAAATTTTGTATTGAAATATATTTTAACTACAAACGGTACCTACCTACTTGTTTATAAACAACATTTTTCATTTATATAAATTTTTCGGATTTCCCTATTCCTACTCGAGAGCAAGCTTTACGTATAATTTATTTATCTTTCTTTACCTTGACTGCGCGCGCAACTCGTGGGTTGCAGGTGAGCGTCCAATGAGAAGCGAGTTTGTTACGGACTTCCGCCATATTCTTAATGAGGGGCCAGTTCAGAACTAATCGTTCCTTCTTTCTTTCTAACGTGTAATTCGACAAAGTGCAAACTAATACTTTACGTATCACTTCTGAACTCACCGCAGTGCTGTTTGAAATTATGTCAGATTATACTTGACATATTCCTTTGCACTCTCATTGTGCGATGTTGCCGGATGAAACATTTATCAAAATAAAAGTGCAAACTATGTTAACATACACTTTAAAGCTCTTCTTTTGTCTGATTCAAAACGTTGTGAAACACGTTGTAAAATATCAGTTTTTTATTTAGTATAATGTTCGATTTGTATTGCTTACATTTGTTCTGCAACAATACAAATTGGCTACACTGCAACCCACTAGTTGCGCGCACATGTCATCTTTTATTACTGTTTTATGCGAGACAGGTCAATTGGCCGTGAGAAAAGCCAGGGCTTGGACTCTGTAATGTATAGAGATATTTTCTCTATCTCTATTATAACGTCCCCTCTCTATTGATTTGGAAGACAGAAGGCGAAAGCAAGTGCCATAATATAGCGATAGGGGTAGCGATCTTTATCCGTCACAGAGTCCTAGCCCAGGAGTCTTTGAGGTTGATGCAGCAATATTTTAAAGTTTGTTCTTGGGCTTTGTTGATTGTAAAACTATAGGCTTATTTGATTAGAAATTGCAGTGTTTCAAATTGAGATGGCAGTTCAGTAGAGATCAGTAGTGGTATTCTGGGGATAAATACTGTATGTCCTTTGTCCTTTCTAGTCATAAGTTCTGCTTCGATGTTATTCGATAGCTGTTTGATGATTATCCTTGTTCCATTACATATAGTTTTGGTGATTTAAGATTTCTGAGTAGGTAGTATGATTGGAGATCCAATTTTCAGTCGAAGGCAGTGTAATGGCATTCCTAGTAGGTACCTACTTGCAAAGAATTTAGAAATTCTGTAGGGAAGTTGACTCTTCAACGTGTACCATCGTGTCAATCGATTTGTATATTTTCTCTTCACCGGGAATTTTCTTTTGAATATTAAAGTCGATATCGTCGACAATATTATTTTTAGTTGCTAAAATCGCCTTCTGGAATAGCCACTCCGGATTGGTATAGTTATGAACAATTGAACTTTGTTGACCAGTCAGAAACAACTACTCCGAGGGCAAATACCCCTACCGGCGTTGAACTACACTGATTGGTCTGAGCTTTCGTTGGCAATGGAAATTGTTAGAAATATTTTTTTTTTCAGGTAATGACCAACGTGAATACAGGGACACTACGGTCCCTGTTTGGGAATCGGCCCACTGAGCAGTGGACTCAGGCTTCCCGTGCCAATCCTTGACGCGTTTCGTCCTTGTTAGTCCTTCTGATGAGTCCTAACAAGGTTCGCCCTTGTTAGGAGGCTGGTCTCCTAATCAGTATGACATGTGCCTTAAGCTATTTGTAAAATGTGTTGAGCAAAATGTGCTGTTGTTTCGTCTTTTGATAGTTCAACTCTCATATTTTTAGTTAGATTCGCAGTATTTGTATGTGTGGCAAGAGATGTGATTTTTTTAAGCATATGCGTTGATTTCATCTGCTGGTGTTGCCTTGAGAATAACTGGAAGTGTTTGTCGAAAATCTCCTGAGAGTATGAGTAGAGATCGTCCCATCAGTTCACAGTTTCCTCGTAAGTCTCGTAATGTTCTGTCCATGGCTCTTCTCGTTTCTGCCATCCAGCATCTAACGGTTCCAAAGATGTGGTATTTTGTGATTTTGGAAAGCTCGGGCTATATCGTGTCGATCCATCCATGGCGACTTCTCCGTATCTTCGTTGTTTTTTGATTTCTTGTCACGATGAGTTGCATACGAATGTTATGAAGATGTCAGGTTGTCCATCTTTTCTTACGTAGGTCATGGTATCTTCAGTGTATTCGTGTATTTGACTTCCTCATCCTATGTAAGATGAGGGTAAGTTTACCATTGTTCTAATGTTGCGTAGTTTCTTTTGATTCAGTCTAATGTAGGGTATACGCACACAATGAACGCAGGTTGCCTGCTTGCTAGAACAAAGCGCTTATAAGCGGTTAAATGCATTTCAGAATGTCGTGGAATGCTCTCGACTACCCTCAAATGTTCTGGACAGTTCTAAAAGTTTCTAGAGGGCGAAACTTCCAGCCCTTCTATCTTCAAAAGCACGACCTTCATCAGGTAAAATCGGGAACCTTATTCATGACGGGAGATGTACGTGTCGTTTTATCGACAGTTTTTATATTGCATTAACGATATCACATTTGTCGGACAAAAATCTTGTGGCTTTGGGGGGGTCCGAGTCCGACGCACCTCCAAATCAACAGAGATTAAATTTATATAATTTATGAATGTTTTTCTCGTTTCCATTTTTAACCTGATCCAGTCTCCTCCAAAAGTCCACTTCGGTTCAGTTGCTTCCAGCATTTGTGAGGGTTGGTCCTTTACTGGCCAGACTTCTGGATTATACCTAATGTGACTATACTTTTGACGATGGTGTTGTGGGTATATTCTGGTTTTGTTTGGCTTGTTTATACATACCTTTATTTTATTCCCTCAGTAATCCATTTAGTAGGGAGGATCCTTTTTGTATTATTCTACTGAATGTGTCATCTAATCTAGGGGTTTAACTGCAAAGCAAAAATGATGTAAATCAATTCCATTTCATCAAGTTTTATGCAAATGAATAATGAAAAGTAAAAATTTCCTAGTATTATATCAGTTTGTTTTTTCAGTAATCATTTTCCGTTTTACAAAACAAACGACGACAGATGGAAGAACTCTGTCAGGCACAATTTGTCTATCAACCCGCACTTCCGGAAAGGAGGGAAAGCATCCCAGGGCGCCGGACATTTCTGGACTATTGCTTCGAGGGACGAGACCAAATCATATCACATGGTAATTGAACTTTTTATTTAAAGCAAGCATGATAATAATAAAATCGACCTATTATTTCAGCGTCAGAAAATAAAGGAATTTTTGAGATTATCTAAAGCTCAAAATAATGAAACAATGAATGACACAGATGCACTTGAAATGGAACTACAAGCGGCTACTAATAGTATTTTAGAGGAAATACAAACTGGAGTAAGCTAGGATATGTTTATTTTAGCTTTTCTTCATTTTTATAATTTTCAATTTTCCAGATGGAATTACCTCTAGTGCTGCCATCAGAGCTGAACAATACTGAACAAACTACCTTGGATACTGATGAAGATATTCCTGTGGAGTTTATTGGCCTTTCTGAAGATGTTACCGAGCTAGAACTAGAAGGTAAGTTCTTTAATCTAAAATTAGATAGTTTGATTGGTGCATTAATAGGACAATATATAAACCTGACACCTAAAGTTATGGTAGAGCCAAGTCTGGTGTGTATGTTTGCGTCCTAATTTTTAGCTCTAATGAAGTATTTATTTAAATCCGAAACATCGACTAAGTGATTCATAAAGATACTGCTTCATTATCTTCTCAAATGAAGAGCTTAATTGAAAAATTAAAGTCTATAATATGTCTCAACTTTCAGGTTTTCTAACTTCATCAGTATCCAAACAAGGCCTTGTCAATGGATGCAATCTGGGCCTCAGTGATGATTATTTTATCACTGATATCAACCCCAATTTTTTGGGTCTAATAGAAGAAGATGACGGAATGCCTCTAGAATATTACGAAATGAAATAATTTTAAAAACTTTCAAGAGGTACTTTTGTGGTTAGTGGCTTTATTTTCTATTATCGGAACCGCAAGTGCCATACCTATTATTATAGTCTTTATACTTATTTTAATACTAATATTAGGTAATCCAAATAAAGTGAAATCAGTAATCAGTATAATTTTAAAGCGTACCTACTTTTTAATGTTGAATTGGGAAGATCATAATTATGATAAGGTAATGTAGTTTGGCAATAATTTTACATTTGTTCCAATCAATTTTTAGAAGCACCAAACTAGAATTAATTCCCACCTTCTTTTAAATGTTATCTATTTTAGTTAATAGTAGATAAGATATCTATAATAAGTAATTAGGAAAAGTGTAAATATAATTTATTTTAGTCATGTATAAAAATGATATTTTTATAATACCTAACATGAAAATACTTTGTATATCAATAAAATAATTGCATTGATTTAAAGAAAAAAAAGATTAATTTTATTTATTTTTTGAGGATTTTCAATTTTCCATTCCTAGGTATCAAATCTCTTTGAGAAGAATCAGAACAAATAAACCCAGACCTAAATTTTCCTTTCCATCGTGTTTATTAGTAGGTAAACACTGAAACTGATGATGACCAATTTTATCCAGTTTTTTCTATTCATCTATTTTTAGCAAACAAATTGACACATTTACAACACTGGATCAGTTTTAAATACAGGGTGTCTCAGATAAGGATGCACTCTACAGGGATCTCGGTAACCAAGAGATACAGGGTTGGTTAAATTTGGCAACAGTGTTCAACACCTGTTGTTTTGAACTCTTAATTTGAAGCAACAAATTAGTGGTTTTGGCTCCAAAGTATTGGTAAAAAACATCATAGTAGTTAAATTCAAGTTTATATTTATCGGTGCAAGTAAAGGCAAACGTGTGTTTGATTGGAATGTGGTGATAGAAGCATTAAATAATCTGACCGGGCGGTGTGAAGGTTATTTTCGCAGCAGTGTTTGGCCGTTTGGCCGCAGTGTTGCCAAGATGCCAGGCTCGGGAGTAGCGTCAGAGATATGCGATGTCTGTAATAAAAAAAGTGTATGATAATGATGAAGGGTTGTTGTGCGAGAAATGCAACATATGGAAACATAGGGTATGTGCTTCAGTTTCACAAAGGTCTTATACTCAGATAAGCAAGTCTGAACAACCCTGGTACTGCGATGTAGGTATGTAGAGAAGCAGAAAAAAACAAACAGAAAAAAATTATATCACAACAAAATCAACAAAAAGACTACACAATAGCGGATGTAATGGCAAAACTGGATGATATGGCTGAAAAGTATAATGGCTTGTTGGCTAAGTATCACGAGCAGGTAAAGCAAAATGAAACAATGCAAGCTGAATTGATAAGTATAAAAAAACAATTAAACAAAAAAGAGCAAAACGAGCTGGTCAACAACGTTATTATACAGGGAATTCCCTTCAAGGAGGGTGAGAATATACAAAATCTGATTGAAAAAATAGGAGAAAAATTAGATGTACCAGTAGGGAATAATGGTCTCACAGCATATCGTTTAGGCAGAGATCCATCAAAAAACTGTCCGATAAAAGTTTGTTTTGAAAGAGCGGGAGTGAAAGAACAGATGTTCAAATCAAAAAAAAGATACGAATTGAATACAAAGGACCTTGGCTATATGGAAAACATTAGAATTTATTTAAATCATGACTTGACAAAACGGAATGTAAAACTATTTACCATGGCTAGAGCGTTTAAAAAAGATCATGATTATAAGTACCTATGGATGAGCGACGTAACTATTTTTTCGAGGAAAGATGATAGATCAAAAGTAATAGTAGTCGATTCTGAAATGGCACTGGAAAACGGAAAACTAAAGAGGCCTCTAAAACAATTAAGTGTTTCTTACATGAATATTCAAAGTATTCGTAACAAGGTTGATGATATAAAGTGTTTTTTACTTAATAACTCATGTGATGTTCTAGCACTATCTGAGACATGGATAAATGGGGACGAGGCGTTCTTGTATGATATGGACAATTTTACGGCTATACACTCATGCAGAGAGGGCAGAGGTGGCGGAACGTCAGTGTACAAAAAAAAAAAAAAACAATAAAGTGTCAGGAAGTAGATAGGTTTGGTACAGAAAAAACTCCAAACTGGATCTGTGTAAAAATTGGTGAGTCTGACCTAAAATTAAGTATTATATACAAACCGCCCTCATATAGTAACATTGAGTTTCTGAGAGACCTAGAAATTATTCTTACAAAATATCCTAGGAAACATGTTGTTGTAGGAGACATTAATATTAATTTATTAGAAGATTGTACAGTGGTTACTAACTATAAAAACCTATTAGCTATAAATAACTTTAAAATAAAGAACACAATTACTAATGAAAATGCAACAAAGAGTAACGGTAAACAGTCAAAGCATAATTGATCATGTTTTATCAGACCTGGGTTCGAAGATGGTGACTGAGGATGTAAAAATTTACTATAACTCTCTTTCTGATCACAATCGCCTTTCGTTTAAAATAAATTATAATAGTAAAATATATAAACCAAAAGTAAAACATCAAATTAAATGGATAGATTACAAAAAAATGTGTTTATAAATTTAGTCAAAATAGCGGGCGGGTTATCGTATCATCATTTAATGTCTTGACTGAACTGATTCAGGTAGCAAAAAACGAGTCACAAAATATAAAAACAGTAAAAATAAGAGAAAATAATACCTGGATTAATGGCGAGATTCTTGAAATGATGAGGCAGAGGGATGGTGCTTATAAAAAAAAAGTTGAAAATCCGGGTAATTTATTGTATAATGATGAGTTTCGAAAAATTAAAAATAGAGTTAACAATAAAATTAAAACACTAAAAAACCATTTTTTTCGTAAAGAATGGGATCGTGCAGGTACTGATCAGAAGAAGCAGTGGAAATTTATCAATAGTTTTTTTAATAACAAATCAATCAACACTCACATAGACTTTTTAAATATAAACGGTAAAATTATTGAAGAACAAAAGGATATAATTGATAAGTTAAACTTATATTTTTCGCAAGTCGGTGAGAATATTGTCAATGAGTTAAACAATGAAATTCAAATTTTAAATGATGACATAATGTTTGATGAAATTAGTTGCAGTAACACACTAATTAATATTGAACCAACCAACCCAAATGAGGTCTGTGAAATTTTATTAGAATTAAAGCGTAACTCTTCTCCAGGTGAAGATGAAGTGACGGTGTTGGACTTAATTAATTTAACAGATCATGTGACAGGTATCATTTCAAATTTAATAAACAACGTGTTTACTACGGGCGTGTTTCCTCAAGAATTAAAAAAAAAAAAAAACTACTACAATTTTTAAATCTGGTAAAAAAGATCAAATGAACAACTACCGACCCATTACCGTTTAAACACCTTATCGAAAGTCCTAGAAAAGGTTATTAAAAGGAGATTAATGTCCTTTATCGATGAAAATTCATTGCTTGATCAGTACCAATATATGGCTTTATTAAAAATAGTAGCACTCTCGCTGCGACTATGGATTTTATTAGCACCATTTCAAAAGCATTGGATGGGGGGAAAATTGTGGTTGTGGATTTTATTGATTTAAGAAAAGCTTTCGACGTCGTTAGTCATGATTTGTTGTTAAGAAAATTGCAAGATTTGGGCCTAGGGCCACTTTTTTTGAAACTTATAAATACTTATTTGGTGGATAGAAGGCAGTACGTCAACTTGGGCGGTATTAGCAGCGAATTATTAATCAACAACTATGGTGTACCTCAAGGGTCGGTACTCGGACCTCTATTCTATGCTTTATATGTATTAAGCCTGAAATCTGCTAAATTAAGGGCACGGTATTTTACGTTCGCTGATGATACGGCTCAAATATATGTAGGGGATAATGAACGGGAACTGGTGGAAATCATTAATGAGGATTTAAATCTGTATTATAAGTGGTTAATTACTAATAGGTTAAAAATAAATATTGAAAAAACGCAATTTATGTTGTTCAAGCAAAAAAACAAACATGTAGGTAATATGAACATTAAAATAAATAATGTTGATTTAGAAAGGGCCTCATGTGTAAAATACTTTGGTTTAGTAATAGATGAATCGCTTAGTTGGCAAATGCATATAAATAAAATCACACAAAAAGTTCACTCCCTCATGCCATGTATATATAAAAGCTATTTAACACATAGGACCAAAATGAATGTCTATAATGCCTTTTTCGTATCACATATAAGATATATTTTGCCTATATGGGGTACTTGTTGTAAAACAAAATTTAGTGAAGTTCAAGTTACGCAAAATAAGGTGCTTAAAACCCGCCTATTGTACCATTGTTATGTGGAATAGCTCTGTTTATTTTCTCGAATAAAGTATACCTAGTTAATAATTGAAAACCGTACTACAGTTGTTTTTCTCTCTTGCAAATAGACTTGCCCCCACAATTTTATTCTAGTTACTAGTAGCTGCCCAAGGAAATAATTACCATCAAATACGACCGCTCGCAGTCCTCTAAATAATAGAGTACTTGGTGCGGATGCTACATTGGCGTCAGGTGTGTGAGGTAGATTATTTGTTTGAAGCTTGTAGACAGTGCCTTACTAGACTGAAGGTGCTAGGACATAGGACAGCTACATTCACGGGAAATCCAGCTACTGATAAATTACTTGGAGACATAGCCACCCAATTCACCCTACGACTGTTAATGCCGATAAAACAGCGAGTACTCTCAGGAAATTCCGGAGATTTGGATGAAGCTTGAGAGGGAGGAATCAATTGAAAATTTTCCGAAGCCAAACAATCGAGAATGCCGTGGAGTGAGGAACCAGAACAATAAAGCAGGGCCGAGCCAAAGACAGAACCATTGGAATCAAAGAACGCACAAAAAAAGAAAAATGGTGTGCAACAATTGCAACCAGGAAATTGTACGAAACCAAGGGACATGAACAGACAATGTAACAGAGGTACGTTTGTTTGTTTCAGATGCAACAAACAAGAGCATTTTACTAAAAATTGCCGCACGGGAGTCAGCGCTTTTACCCAACAGTCGGGAAATAGGCAGAGTTTAAGCTCGAACGCAGCCACCTATCAACTTCAAGATCAGGGGCGCCCGCAGAAAAATATGTAGGGGGGGTCAAAATCAATTGAATACATTCTTTATGGATGAAAAAGGGCACCTCAAAGTCTGAAAAATCATCATAAATAAATATATAAAAAAGCTAAAACTTTCTTTCTAAAATATGTATCTAAAACATCACCAATTCGGAGATACTTAGGTATACAGGGGGACAATTTAAAAAGTAACAATCGAGAATATCTTGTAGTATAACATACCCAGGTTCGCTCAGTAAGATTGAACGATGAGAATTTTTATTACCTTTTAAACAACAAACCTT